ACACACACACACACACACACACACACACACACACACACACACACACATATAATGAATGTTAGAACAGGGAGGATATAAGGAAATTGGACCTCTTATATAGTGTTAGAGGGAATGTAAATTAGCATGCCTGTTACAGAACATAGCGTGGACGTAAATGACTGACAGTAACCACCATGAATTCCTGGTAATCCCACTGCAGGTAGATTCCCAAGGGAAATGAAACCACGGTGTTGAAGAGATGTTTTCACCTGCATGTTTATCAACCTTAGTGCCTGTCACATGATGACTGAAAAAGGTGGAGTGCATACACAATGAGCTAAGAAAGAGAAGGAAATTTTATTCTTTAAAAATTATGTGTATACAATAAGGACATTTGCTCAACCATGTTTGTAGCAGCTTTATTTGTAATAGCCAGAAGCTGGAAACAACCCAGGTGCCCCTCAACTGAAGAATGGATGCAGAAATTGTGGTACATCTACACAATGGAGTATTACTCAGCAATGAAAAATAAGGAAATAATGAAATTTGCAAGTAAATGGTGGGACCTGGAAAAGATCATCCTGAGTGAGCTGTCCCAGAAGCAGAAAGACACACACAGTATATACTCACTCATATAGACATATAATAAAGGATAAACCTACTACAATCTGTACACCTAAAGAAACTATTCAAGAGGGAGGACCCTGACTAAAATGTTCAATCCCCATCCGGAAAGGCAAAGAGGATGGACATCAGAAGAAGAAAACAAGAAACAAGCTAGGAACCTGCCACAGAGGGCCTCTGAATGGCTCTGCCCTGCAGACTATCAAAGCAGATGCTGAGACTTATGGCCAACTGTTGGGCAGAGTGCATGGAATCTTATGTAAGAAGTGGGAAATAGTAAGATCTGGAGAGGACAGGAACTCCACAAGGAGAGCAACAGAACCAGAAAATTTGAACACAGGGGTCTTCCCAGAGACTCATACTCCAACCAAGGACTATTCATGGAGATAACCTAGAACCCCTGCACAGATGTAGTCCATGGCAGTTTAGTGTCCCAGTGGGTTACATAGTAATGGGAGGAGGGACGGCCTCTGACATAATCTGATTGGCCTGCTCATTGATCACCTCCCCCTGAGGGGGGAGCAGCCTTACCAGGCCACAGAAGATGACAATGCAGCCACTCTTGATGTGATCTGATAGACTAAGATCAGAAGGAAGGAGAAGAGGACCTCCCCTATCAGTGGACCTGGGGAGGGGCATGCATGAAGAAGGGGGAGGGAGGGTGGGATCGGGAGGGGAGGAGGGAGGGGCTTATGGGGGGATACAAAGTGAATAAAGTGTAATTAATAAAATAAAAAAATTATGTGTTTTGCCTGCATGTGTGCATACATGTTCTTACATATGTGTGGAAAGGTCATCTCATAGAAGTAGAGAATGGATTGTTGGTTACAATGGTCTGGGAAAAAGTGTGCGAGACAGGGAGGGTAGTTAACAGATGGTGAACAGGGGCTGGTTATAACTGATAACAATTAATTATTTCAAAATACCTGGCAAAGAATTTGAGTGTTCATGACCAAAAGAAATGCTAAACGTTTGAGGAAGTATATTGATATAATCATCACACTGTGTATGTGTATTCAAAGATTTCAATGTATCGCATGAATATATATGTATTATGCCAGTCAAAATAACAATGTATCAAAAGGATTAAGAGCTTGAAATATATATATATTTTTTGTTGTACTCTGAACTGATTTACTCATTGTCAACCAAGATGAGAAAATTAGCATATTTCCTTTCACACATAATAATTCTCTACTCTTTGTATTTGCTACTAAGATTACTTCCATGCTGGAGTCATTCTGCTCTGTAGCCACAGTTCCAGAAAGTTCTGTACTAAACACAATAGTGCTATGTTTCAGTTAAATATAGTAAACTGCATGTACTAAAGTGGAAAAATAAATAATGGGTTCTTGAGAAACAACAATGGGAGATTTATATACGTTGCCTCTCTCTATATTTTCTGTCCATCTCCTTCTTCACTGTTGGTCATAGGATAATGGCTTAGTTTTGCACACATGTCTATTTAAAAGCGCCGACTGTTTAGACTCTTCTTTGATGTAATATACACGGTTTATTTTTAAAACCTTTTAATGTGTACAGGTGTTTTGCCCTCACAGGTGTCAGTGCACCACATCTGTGGTTGGTACTTCAGGTCAGAAGGTGTCAGAGTCCCTGAGTTACAGATGGTTGTCGGCGACCATGCAGGGTTCTGGGAAGACAATCCATGCGTGCCCTGGAGGAGCAGCGAGTGCTCTCAACTGCTGAGCCAGGTCTCAACCCCTGTAGGTGACTTCTTATGATGTCTTTTCCTGAATCACAGAGATCTATTCCCCCTGAGATATCGATTCAGCACCAGGCTGGAAATTGGTGGAGGTGGGCAAAAGTTTTTTTGGAAGTACGCTGAAAGTCTTTGTTGGGCTTGTGATTGCGTTGTTTATGTTTTCAGAGAGACACAGAGGGGGAAGAACTCTCTTAGATATTTGAAGATTAGGCTGTCTGTCAGAGTGTCAGGCACTCCGTTGGATGTGTCATTTATGGGACAGCACTGATGGGCAGCCTAGGTGCCGCTGTTTAGATAAAGGCACTTTCTGAGGAATCTAATGAAGCAGGTAAAAGAGCCCTCAGGGAGAATGCCATATGAAGATTTGCAGCTCTCAAGCCTGGGCAACTGTTTTTTTTTTTTTTTTTCAACTTTTCCTGTGCAAGGGAAGAGACTATAATAGAATGATGCTTACACTAGAAGACATTTGGTCAAGATTTTTTTTTTTAATTTTTCAAGTTACGTTTACTTATTCTGTGTGCATGTGTGTGTGTGTACACGCATACTCGTTAAGAGGTGAAGGTCAGAGAACAAAACTGGTTCTTTCCTTCCACCCAGGTATTGACTTTAAGCTGGTTAGTTCAGCAGCAAACCCCCCTCACCTACCAGGCCATCTCACCAGCCCAAGAGGATTTATTTTTAACTTAACATTTTAGCTACTGGAGAGATTCTAAAATGCTTGTTTGCTCTAAACATATTGCAGAGAGAGAGAGAGAGAGAGAGAGAGAGAGAGAGAGAGAGAGAAGGAGAAAGGACGGGTGATTGATTCTGGAGAACAAGGGATGCAAATGGCAGAAGAATTCTGAATGAGATGGGATCTGAATGAACCGGGACTTGACTGAGTAGGGCAGTTCTTCCACGGAAACAGGAAGAAGGGAGCTTACCAAATGTGAAGGGGAGGATGGGGGGAATTTTGGTCTGGTTGTTTCTAGCTTTTCCATGAGCACGTGCTGTGAGTTGAGAGGGTGTGAGGAGAGAAATAATATAGTTACCTCAGAGAGGGAGCATTTGAAAAATAACTTACTTTGGTAATAAAGCAAGTGCTTCAAATAGCATTAAGCTAGTCATTTTAGCTTCATGGTACGGCTCAGAAATGAATAGTTTTCTCCAGCAGAGCACTGATGATTTAGTGCAGGCAGGAAATTGGACTCACCTATTTTTAAAGGTAATTTTAAAGGAACTTTTTGTTTCTCTTACGAGTCTCTGGGTATTACTTGTTCCTAAGAACAAGCACTTTTTAGAATTCAGCAATGCCACTGAAACGATATGATCCTTGAATTGGAAAGAGAATGATCCAAGACCCACAGGAGACAACACAGAACCATAGTTCAGTATGTACTAAGTCTTTGCTAGATGCACAATAGCGGTGTCACTGAGAGGGAGTGGAACACAGGGCCCCGCCCCTGAAGAAACATACTATCTATTGAGAATGTAAGAAATACCATTCGTATAGAGCTTACATTTCCTGTTTCATATTTAAGTGTTGAAATTAAAAAAAAAAAATGACGGAATTATCAACAGGCTGACCTTTTTATAATAAAGGGGAGACTACTTCCAGCACGCAGAAAATTATGTCATATTCAACATACGCAGAAAGTGCTAAGTGTGTGCCTGTGCCTAAAGCTAAAGGAGAGCACAGCAAGGTTAAAAGTGTAGCACAGAGTTATTCTCAAGTGCTGTGACAATCCTAGTGAGCTCTGAAGAAGCTTGGTGAGTTAGAGTACCCTTTGCCGTAAACATCATATTACGTCAGCTACGGCATTAGGCTGCCGCCGGGACGTTGAATCTTGGCTTTATAATAAACCGTGATGTCTGTGCATCAATATACGTAAAGTGGTTGGAGCTAGTTGAAGCTTGCTCCATTGCGCATGTGTGTGTGCGCGCGTGCGTGTGTATGATTCTTACCCCCTTTCCTACCTGCCCCAGAGAATTTACCCCAGCCCCAGAGAATCAAATTTTGTTCCCTCAGAGACAGAGCTGCTGAGTGATCAATTGCCAACTTTTTTTAAAAGATTTATTTATTTATTTTACATGTGTGGGTGCCCTATCTGTAGGTCACTTGCATTCCAGAAGAGGGTGTCAGATCTCAGTATATATGGTTATGAGTCACAATGTGGTTTCTGGGAATTGAACTCAGAACCGTGGGAAGAGCAGGCAGTGTTCTTAAAGGCTGAGCCATCACTCCAGCCCCCACAATAAAACATAATTACATCAAGAGTTTCTGTTATTCATTGAGATCAGCTAAAGCTTATTGGCTGCTAATCAACTAGCAAGCATTGTTCTTAGTACATGCTGTGTCACCAAAGCCCAGCAGACCCGACATACAAGCTAGGCACACCAGGCGCTGGGCCTCCCAGGCTTGGAGAGCACAGTGGAGGATCCCCAGGACTTCCCAGAAGGCATCTGGACCAGCATCCCAGCCTCCAACTGCAGCGGGACTTCCTAACCTGGCGGCTGCAGCAGCACTGAGCTGGCGGAGCACATCAGTCCTCCTGCAGACCAAGCAGAGCCAAACCAGAGAGCAGAGAGCCCAGATACCCCCATGCCTGTCAATTGCCAACTTTATGCCCCATCTCAGTTAACCCTGGATGTCCAAGCTGGCCCTTGACAGTCTTGGATTCTATCTTCCCCTCCCCACCTTGTTCTACTACAAAATATGCTGAGAAAAGAAACTTCAATGGAAGATGGTTTATTGCAATGTGTAGCAAAGGTACAAGCTATTATTTCAAGGTGAGTCACCGTGGGAGGAGCTTGGGACAGGCAACTGTGATGCATCCACCGTAGGTAAGCAGCGAGCGAGGGAAGGATTCACGCTAGCACTCACCTTCCTTTCTGTATTTATGCTGTCTAGAGCACAGCCAAGGAATGGTGCCGCCCACAGCGGACAGCACTTTCCACCTCAGTCACTGAAATCAATATGGTCCCCACAGGCAGGCCCAGGTGATTCTAGATTCCGTCAAGCTGACAACGGACACTGACCATCACAGATATCAATACACGGCTGGATACATGAGGTCCTTAAAAACGCTTGGCAGTTGAGCAAGTGGATGGCGGATCAGAAGCAGATCAGGAGTGCCTGAGTCGACATACTGGTCATCCTGAAGTTCAAAAGAGACCCTTTCTGACAAGTCAGAGGTTAGTTATGTTAGCTAACTGTTCTTATCTTCGTAAGCCGTGCTGTTGAGTATCACAGGTCACCAGGTGCCATCATCCTCCACCGTGTGTGAGGCAGAATCTCCCGTCTGCTGCTGTATTGACGAGGCTAGCTGGCCTCTGGGCTTCGCAGGATTCTGTCTCCACTGAGGCTGGCTTTTACGTGGATTGGGGAGGGGGGAGCGGGGATTTGAGCTCCGTCCTTAACTTTGCCCATCTCCTCAGCCCCTCAGTGCAAAACATGTCATTGCTGTATTGAGGCAACAGCATCTCACGTGACCTTTGGAGATCTCAGAGGTAAACATCAGGCCAGTTTAATGTTGTCAGCTGTCTGTGGAGGATTTCTGTCTCATGCCCTTTCCTGGTTGCTCAGGGAAGACTACAGAGCTTCACACCTGGTGACAGAGGAGTGCAAAATGGTTGGCTCTGTCTTCCTCCGCGTTCCTTCTCTTGAATTTTTTTTTTTTTTTTTTTTTTTTATCATTTGAGGTGTGGCCTCTCAGGGTCCCTGCCCAGGTGTTGTGAAGGTCCTAGACCGGCCAAGGTGCAGAAAGAGATTCTGTCCCAAGCTCAGGCTTCTGGTCCCATCATTTCTCTTACCTCATTACCATATGCCTCACGGGGAACCCACAACTGAGGTGCTACCGTCTAGTCTAGTCTGCAAGCCACCAGTCCTGGCTCTCTCCCTTGATGTCTTTGGTGCACCAGGCCCTTGTGAGAGGAGTGCTGTCAGGTTGGGCTTTTCTCAAGAAAGTGAGATCCCAGTGTCAAGTGTTCTCTGGTTCCTCTTGGTTCAGTGGAAACTGTGGCTATTTGGATTCTTTCAAATATCCTCCCCACGCTATAGCTCATATCCCACAAATATTTACTGTAAAAGAGTAGGGGTTTTTTTTCGGGGGGGGGGGTTCAGGAAAGTCATGCATCTTTTAAATGTCTGTCTAAAACGGAAACCAAACCAAAACAATGTGAAAGAGCAAAACCTCAACTTCCTTTTTTCCCCCCGCCCGGAGATTTTTACCTGGTTCACTGCCCCCACTTTCCTTTACCCCGTCAGTGGAATTCAGGATCTGGGATGCTGAAAGGAGAATGGAGTCAACTTCATCATCTTCCTCCAGGTGCTTTTCTGGAACAGAACGGAGCACAACTTTTGGCGAGGAGCTGGAAGGTAGCCTGGGAAGGTGAGGATGCGAGGCGCAGGGATTCCGGAAGCCCACGCCCTCGGCGGCCACCGGAGGGCGCGCCAGGGCCAGGTAGAGACGCAGACTCTGCAAGTAGGACCGGAGGCTGCGGCCCGCCAGGGGGCAGGCGGGTGCTTTCTCGCTGTCTAAGCTGGGGCCCGGAGGTCGGGAAGATCCGCATTCCAGACCCTCCTGGAAACTCAGAAGGCTTTGGGGTGAAGGGACCCGGGTGTGGCTCCACTATCCTCCATGTTCCACAGCTCCCCCTTCCCCCCTGGAGGACAGCCTCATGGCTCGCTCTTACCCGGGCTCATGTCTGTCGCTTCAGATCTCTCTACCAACTGCCTTGCCCCAAGCATTCAACTCTGCCGCTTCCAGCCACAGCATCCCGTTACCTAGTAACGGAGTGGTAGTGAAGCCGCGCCCCCTCCCCTCCCCCTTTCCCACGAGCTGATGGAGAGGACGTGATTGGCTGTCATTTATCAAAGCACACTGATTTTCTCCGTGCATTTGACAAACCACTTGTACAGGGCAGGTATTTCCCTGGGAAGCAGAGCTTGCTCAATTAACTGGTCGGAAAGCCTGATAGTTAAGTAAAACTAAGAAGTACGTGTGACTTGCAAAGTCAGTTGATTCAGACAGACCACACAGTCATTGAGAATTGAATTTTAATTCTCAGCGAGTAGGAATTGACAGCACTATGATATAATAATTTGTTACCTAATTAATGACATACGGTTTAGTTTCAGGAAAGAAGCATGATAATTTAATGTTCACTCGCTGTAATTTCTTGTTTTCTAGAGCAATGGTCTCTATAGGACTTGGCATTGTGGACGGTTTTAATAAATTTTAATTTTTCAAACTAAATGTCTGTTAAATTGCTATTCTAAAGAACATGAATAATATACTCCATCTACTTCTATGTATTAATATCCATATTATTCTAGCAATGAAATATTATGTGACAACTCTAATTTATATGCAGTATTTGTGCTTGGTGATGGCAAGTGTTGGCTATTATATAGAAATTACCTGGAGATTTTCATGAGATGACTGAGTCACAACAGCTGGTATAGACTAGAAGACACAAATGACCGAGCTTACAACGTCAAGTCCAGATTTAATCCATGCACTAGTCTTAACAGAAACTTGCTTTTATTTTAAGAGAACAATCAGACATGTACTGTTGCACCTGGCTTTTTACATGGGTGCTGGGCATCAAACTCAGGTCCTCCTGCATGTGTGGTAAGCTGTTCACCAACCGAGTTTTCTCCTCTGCCCCTTCTGAACTATTAAGAGTGAGTTACGAACTTCACAACCCATCTCTCCTCAACACTTGGGTGTGTATCTTTTCAGAGTATGGAAAGAAACACAATGCAGCCATTACTATTCAGAGGTTAGCACTGATTCATAACCGACCCTCTCAGCCATAGCAATAATGTCTTGGGGAGCCACAGGTTCCAGCCCAAGAACCTGCATTGCATTTAAATGCAATGATCAGCTTGATTTACCTTGAACTACGAGGGCCTTCACATTTTAGAAGAGTCTAGACCAAGTATTCTGTAAAGTGTTTCTGTGCCTTTGGTGGGTGTTTTCTGGTGGGTAGATTTCAGTCATGCCTCCTTTTTGGGGTGTTATGATGGCCGTTTGTCCTCTGCATCAGTGGCCAGCAATGAGGTCTGCTGTCAGCATGGTATTCATGTCAAATACGGTGGCTTACTAATCTCCACCGTAAAGGTATTTAACTCTCATTCTGTTTTGCTTAAAAGTGGCCCACGTAAAACACATAGACTGATGTAATATTTTATTCTTAAGCTTTGGTTTGCTAATTTACTATAATTATCTGTATGGATCAGTGTTTCTTATGTTACTTAGTAGTTAATAATGGATTTTGTTCTGTTGCTAATGTTACCTGTATTATTTCTCAAATTTTCTTGATTTGGTCAATTGACAGTTTCTGTAATTTATCTTCACATCACATAGACAGCAAAGTATATTTTGTCAGGTTATGATTTCTCTGGCCATGTATTTTGATCATCTTCTCCAACCATTTTATAAAAAGCATGACTTTTTATTGTGGAGTTCACTCCAACAGGATAGAATTAAAATATAAATTACCATTTTTTTTTTAAAGACAAGAGTCACAATACTTCAATATCTTGCAATTTTCCTTTATAAAAAAAAATTTGCTTTTACCTGTTGACCAACAGCTGCAGTCTCAAGAATTTGGAACAAATTCAAGAGCATTGCACAAAAACAAGCTCGTCACGTCTATTCTTAGCAACTTCTGACCAGACTACAAGACGTCTGGGGTTTTCATCTTCATAAGATCTTTTTTTAAACCTGGGATTACAGGGCCATCACTAAGCACAGATGGAATCTATGGGCCTGTGACACTCATCCACTTGCCCAAGGATATACTAATATTACAGTTGTTCCTAAGGCTTGTGTTTTGATGGAGAAGGGAGACACATAACATTTAGTTAGGAAGTCTTTGGTGGATTACAGAAGCGATTTCTACAGCTCAAGGCTTGATCCACATGAAAACATCTCCGAACCCAGTCCTCACTAAGTTGTCATGGGCATTAATTTCAACTGGATTCTGTCTATTGAGAGATGGAATGCCATGACTCACAGAGGATGGTAACCAACTTTGGCTTTTAGGCAGCTGATCAGTGCTTTTGGGAGGCCTTGTTTACAGCAAAGGAAGTCAGAATTGAGTCCGGCTGACCATAGGGAGTTTGGCATGCTAAGGGATAGTTGGAGAAACACCAAGATCTTGGGGAAGAACAGGTGTTAGGGGAAGAGAGGTATTTGATGAATGAAATCTGTGAGTGTGTGTATATGTTAAGAAGAAGAGCCACAACAGAGACCGAGTAGATACACTGATCTGGAAAGCAATTTGTGTCCGGAACGTGGAGAATGAGGAAGTTGGGTTGCATGTGTACCGCTTTGTCCATTTGGTAAAGATGACAGAGGCAAGCAATGGTTGAGACACTTTCTCTGTAGGGAGGTACTGGGGTGGGGCAGTCTCTGTCTGTGAAGCTGCCTGTGGCTGAAGAGGTACTGATGTGTGTGAGCACATACAGGGGCAGGACATCCCTGTACCGGGGAAGTCTTTCACTCGTCTCCCAGATCCCGACCCTTCTCCTTCTTTTTGATAAGCACCTTTCAGTTTTCTAGACACTCATGGAAATTCCTGCCTCAGTTCCCTCTGGTGAAAATAGCATATTTCCTTTGCTATCTAAATGGGCCGTATGAATACACACATTCAATGGAGTTAATGCATTTTAAACAACAAAGACATGCCCCTTGATTGACTTCTGCCATGGACCAAGGCATGAGTCAGAGGTGGTGTTCGTGAGTATGGACCAGAAAGAATGTCTATCTAAACTGAACCAAGGACCTGGCCACCTTGTCAAGGCCAGTCCAGAATGGTAAAGACAATATCGAATTCAAGTCATTGAACCATGATACGGACTAGCAAGGGGTCTCCAGCATCACTCAGTCTTCATGGAGATGAGAAAGTTCAAGGCCAGTGGCAGAACTGTAGTTAGGACCCATGTCCGAATTTGGAGTTCTTTCCACGACAGTCTCAATAACATCTTTATTCAGTACCATCGCTTAATATTTTTATTTTTGTTTTTTTCAAAACAGGGTTTCTCCTTGTGTAGCCCTGTCCTGGAACTGGCTCTGTAGACCAGGATGGCCTCAGACTCACAGAGATCCGCCTGCCTCTGCCTCCTGAGGGCTGGAGTTAAAGGTGTGAGCCACTGCTTGGTGTTTAATATTCTTATTACTCCACACTATTTCCCCTAGCACTTCACTCACAGATGAAATAATCTTTATTATAAGGAGAACAAGCATGGCTTAGGGTAATAGTATCGTGATTATAAGGCAAGCAAGATAAAAAGGACTCTTAGTGAGATTTAGAATAAAATTCATAGGCTTAAAGATTTCACAACAACACGGTGATTTGATGATTTGGATAACATACTTATTTAAAACGTACTTATGTAGTCAGCAAAAGGCTGTTGGTTTTCTTTGTGTCTACAAGGTTATAAATGCCACATACATAGTAATTGTTGATGCCACTTTATGTACTTATGTTTGTGTTGCTTTACAGTCTTTAATTATGATTGTCCTCATCAGTAATATAATATTTGAAAATAAAGATGCTAAAATAAAATAACTGTCATCTACATTCCAATGTTCACAGCAACATTAGCTATTAAAAATCCCAATTAAAAAAAAAGTGAGGGCAGTCTGTAGAGATATGGTATGACTTACACAATGGGACATTATTTACGTTTAAAAAGGAATAACATTTTCTTCCATGCTACAACATAAGTGGTTTTTCAAAACACTATGCCAAGTGAAAAGAGCCAGGAACAAAAAGACAAACACTGCATGATTCCACTTACAGAGGTGTGTCTGAAATGTCACCTTCATGAGGTCACAGAGTATAATGGAAGTTGCCAGGCACTGGGGTGGGGGATTGAGAGTTACTGTATTTAACCTAAACACAGTTTTTTTATGCTTGAGGATGATAAGTTACATTGTGGAAGTGCTGATCTTGTCACATACACTTTACCACGATTAAAAAAAAAAACAACAGTAAAAAAAAGAGAAAAATCTATTAGCCTATAATTCTTAGCCTAGATTCAAGTAATATTTCAAAAATGACAGTGAAGCAAAAGGCATCAGAGTATCCTTCCGCTTCAGAGAGCCAAGGGCCCTCGGGGGAAGGTGGACACGTGGGAATGAGCAGCAACAGAAAGAGCGAACGTGTCTCACAACATGATCTTAATTACGTGAGGTTTCATGAGGAGAAGGAGGGGCTTGACGCAGGATGCCGTGTTCTAGAAGGATGCTGTCAGGCTGCTTTAGGAACCCAAGTGGCAGCAACAGGAGCAGTAGCAGCCAGGAGAGGTGGGCCCGGCAACCTGGAAGGAACGCTCTCTGGCCTAGCCAGGCACAGCGCACGCTGCTGCCGCGGCGGTGTTTGCAGAAGCTCCGCGTTTAAGGAGCCGCGGCCTTGCACAGCGGACACACTATGGCAGGCAGCCTGTGCCTACTTTCACTCTTCCGCTCGCTTTCTTCATAAAAGGGTGTGGAATGAGAGCCTGATCTGGTGAAAGTTAGTCTCTAAACTTACACTGTCATTTTGCTCTTGTAGAAAACAGAACACTTGTGCAGAAATAGAACACTTGTGTACATGGTAGGATAATCAAAAAATAAAAAGAAGGGAGGGCAAACTCCGTGTCAAAGCCTCCCCCTGCTAAAATATAGTGCCTATTTACTTCTCCGTAACCTTTGCTTGCTTGACTTTCTTAAAAAAAAAGAAAAGAAAAGAAAAAGAAAGAAA